TAATTTTTTTTAAATGAAATCTTCATAGCTTTTTCTTTGAATGGGCTGAAACACAGCAGAGCAATTAGTCACTTAAATATATGTAGCTGATGTTTATTTGAACATACTCTCAAGGCTTATTTTCTTTTCACAGTCAGTCCCCTTCTGCTGGCCTGGAGCCCAGAATTTGCAGTGACCAGCCCTGAAGTTAATAATGGAGCCATGTCCTGTTAGTCTGCGTCCTTTTCTGGATTGTCAGTCTGTGTCTGCTTCTAGTTCCTAGTATCTCGAGGTGTCCTTTGATGAGTGGAGGCTCTGTGGATGCTCCAGAGAATGCTCAAAAGGATTTCTGCCAGTTTTATCCACAGTAGCAGCAAGGGACCAACCAAGTTTACTTGGCAGGTTCTGGGTGACAGAACTAGAGTGGAGACAGAGGCTTCCCCTCGTCACTGCTATGGCATGCTCTTACAGTCATGCCCGGCAACGAGACCTTGTCTCAGTGGAGTTGTTACCTGAATGACAGGGTGATGCGCATGGCTGGGCCACTTTCCCCGAGTGTAGGGAGAAGTCCTCTGGGAACAATCTATCTTGGAGGTGGCCAGCCTAATACTGATGACAGTGAGTAATAGAGTGAGGCAGGTGCTTCCTTTTCAGTTCTCTATTGATCTTTCTGTTGACTGAAGGAAAAAGTCGTGGTGTGGTATCCTTGCAGTTTTAATACTTCTTAAAACCTTCAGAACCTCCCTTTACAGAAATGGAGAACAGGCCTCTCAGAGAGCTGTTGATAGGCAGAGTTGCTGATAGGCAACTGTATTTAGGCAGAATTCAATTTCATTGTTTTTTTTTTTTTTTTTGAGACAGAGCTCAAGCTGAGCCCCTGGGTAGAATGCCATGGCTTCTCTGCTTACAGCAACCTCCAACTCCTGGGCTCAAGCGAGTCTCCTGCCTTAAGTAGCTGGGACCACAGGCACCCGCCACAATGCCTGGCTATTTTTTGGTTGCAGCCATCATTGTTGTTTGGTGGGCACGGGCTGGATTCGAACCCGCCACCTTAGGTGTATGTGGCTGGTGCCTTAGCCGCTTGAGCCACAGGCGCCGAGCCAATTTCATTGTTTTGTATGTATAGTTTTCTTCCGCTTTTATAGAGAATGACTTTCTGTGTACAGTGGGCATAGGTAATTCTTTTTATTTTTTTGAGGCAGAGTCTCACTCTATCACCCTGGGTAGAGTGCTGTGGCATTACAGCTCACAGCAACCTCAAACTTTTGGGCTTAAACAAACCTCTTGCTTCAGCCTCCTATGTAGCTGGGACTATGGGAGCCCATCACAACTTCTGGTTAATTTTTCTATTTTTGGTAGAGATGGGGGGGGGTCTCTTGCTTAGGCTGTTCTCGAACTCCTGAGCTCAGGCGATTCACTCACCTTGGCCTCCTAGAGTGCTAGGATTACAGGCGTGAGCCACTGCACCAGCTCAGCATAGTTAATTCTTAATAAACAAGGTACTTCTGGGATAACCATTCTCCTGTGATTCCCTTGTGCTCTGTATGGCTTTTCTCCTGTTAATCTGCCTTGTGTCACTTGGTTTTCAGCAAACCTTCAAAGGGTGAGGGGCAAGTGTTCCATTGGGCTCTGTACTTTTTTTATCTTAGAAATATTTTCTTCTTCTACTTCCCCCCAGCTTGGGGAGAGTACAAAATCCTTCTACGTCAGCAGTAAGGACTCCCTCCCCAGCTCTTCCTCTCCTTTTTACTCTTTCCTTCACACTTGCTTGATTACAAACTTTGAGCAAATAACAAGCTTTCTGCATCCCAACATTTTAAACTGTAAAATGAAGGGATTGAGTTTTCTCGTTATTTCCTAAAGCTGTCTCGAGGGGGACAACTGACTTCTGATAATCTCGTGGTTTCCCCTACCTCCTAACGTGATGCAGGACTCAGTTGCTGTGAATCAGCTCATAAAATGGGTCTGCTTCCTCAGGCTGTCAGATGTTACACTGCGGAGGAATTAATAAGGCTTAGCCCTCATTCGTACCTACTTATTCTACAGAGTACTTTCTGTGAGCCAGACCAGGGGACATGTGATGAATTTTCAGAGACTTTTCAAGGTCCTAACTTACCATCATTTTATAAACTATATCTATATCTATCTGCTGAAATGGTCCATTGTTAACTCAAGAATCACGTGGTCTCATAATCTGGTATAGAATTTCTGGAATTCACAGTGGTACCCATAAAGAGCAGAGACAGGAAACAGTGAAGCAGGAAAGTCAGGAATAGAGTGCAGGGAACTAGGAAAATAGGATAAAGAAAGAGAAAAACAAATAAACAATTAAGAGTATTTTTTAAGTAAGAATTTTTTTAAAGAAAAAGTGGTGAGTCAATCCGAAGATTTGCACTGGAGAATGTGTAATGTGGATGACATGTAGATAAGGACCAAATTGTGAATTCGGTAAAGGAACGGCAAGAACTTGAGAAGTGTTGGTCAAATATCTGATATGGTTAATTTTGTAGAGATCTGTCACCTCTTCTTTGAAACCTTTGAGACCAGATTTGTTATGGAGTTCAGAATTTTCAGATCATTTTGGCATGGTCCTTAATGCTGGCTATGATGACTCCCGTAGGAGACTCTGGGACAGTGTCATCACCAGGCTTGTTAGTATTTTCTGTAGTGAAATATATGAACAGCCACAGCAAGGGCAGTTAAAAAAAAAAAAAAAAAAGACTATCCATGGTCTACTGTGGACTCAGGTCAGATTTTTGCCACCAAATACATTTTTGAACCGAAATTACAGAAAAACAGTTTGATTTTCCGAGCTTTCTACATTTCAGAATTACAGTTAAGATATTGTGGACCTGTCTTCGTAACTAAGTTACATTATGTTTCTAAAACTCTAATCAAATTAATCGTGCAGAAAACAAATTAGACCCCGGCTTGGACAGGGATGTGATCTTGATGTAGAATCATACCTGCCATGTAGTGCTTGGCAGATTTGTTCATGAAAGTTGAATCCAAGTGCCTTTTGACTATGTATATGAAGATTGCAGTAGTTTCTGGTCCTGCTCATCCTTGAAGCAAATGGTCAGTCTTGACCAGAGTTCTCTGGTCCATTCTCCGTGATGGTTAAGATCACGACTGTCAGTGACTGGGCAATGCATTTACTGACACCATGCAATGTTGTGTATTACTTCACTTGCTTTTATATTTTTACGATGAAATCCATCAATTATTGGCAGTTGTCCTGCTGAGTATCTTGGTAGTTCTTAGATCAGTCTAATTATCCATGAAGCTTTAATTTGGCCATGATTAAAAAGGAGCATGAACACCCCCCCCCCATTGGTGGCAGAAATGCCGGGTGTTTTATAGTCTGTGAACCTACGACTCTGCAGACCACTTAAGCTGGATTAATTACACCACAGAGGACTGTGTTGAGTTATTTATGATTGTTTTTAAACCATTATGTAAAATGACAAGTGAGCAAGTATTTTCTTTAGAATTCATTGGAAGAGTTTTCCCAGCTTCTTGATTGATAACCTTTGGAACCTTGCTTTTCTTTTGTGTAGTTAGCTGAAAATGTGTAGTAATTGGTCATGAAGGTCATACTTGTGAACTTGTGTGGGCTTTGTCTATTGTATCGCTAGCTATTTAACAAGTTGATCAAGAAATACATCGAGGATCCAAGAAAAAACTGTTTTCCTTTTACTTTGCATATGTCCTCCAGAAGCTTAATAAAATCTCACGGCAGGGTTCTGTGGGCAAGAGGTAGATTTAGATGCAGTCTCTGAAACCAGAGCTATTTGGCTTGTACGATTCAGAGCTTTTATAATGTTGTCTAGGACTTTCTATGAAAGAATGAAATTTTTTGTTTGTGATTTAATCTTTTTTCCTTGGCCAGATTTTTTATTTAAATTAAATCATAGCTGTGTACATTAATGCAGTCATGGGGGGTACAATGTGCTGGTTTCATATACGATATTTTTTCCTTTCCCAGATTTTATGCTTCAAGATAAGATAGGTAGTGGGATGTGCTGTTTCTCATGGAATCATGGCAAATCCTTTGTTTTTGTACCTACTTGAAGAAACTTACTGAGATGTTAGTGGGATGGCGTTCACTATGGATGTAACATGGAATCTACCCTGCCCAAAGTCATTTAGAGATATTGATAATCTGTCATAATACACTATGACTGTTATTAATAACCTTGTACCTCACATGGTTAGAAATCATGACTTATATAATAATAATAATAATAATAATAACAACAGCAATTGTTACTGAGCACTAGTGCCAGGCACTTGTCAAGTGCTTTACATGGCTGAACTCATTTAATCCTCATAACCGCATAATGTAAAAGCATAATAATAATCAAGAATCAAGGTATTCTAGCTTGAATACTTTTGATTACCTTCAACTCATCCTTTCCTACTAATGCAGTGACATCTCAACTCTCTGGGACTCTGCTTTGAGCAACCTCTTCTTGAGAACAAAGCTGAGACTATGGAGACAAGCACAGACACTTCTGTAATTCAGATGAGCCCCCTGACCCGGTGTGAGATCCTGCCTGTACAGCAGGCAGTACAGAGCCAGAATTGCTGGGCTTTGTGCTCTGAGGTCCTTTAGCAAAGGGTCATGAGTCTGAACATGTCAGTGGAACCTGAGGGCCATAGCACAGCCAGTGATGTTTCCAAGTTATTGGTAAAGGGAAACGAAGTTTACCTTAATCTTAGAAATTGAAGGCAAATATCTGATTCATTTTACAAAGACTTCTAATAATGGGGAAAATGGTGCTTTAAGTAGGAAAATATTTATCTGTCTACAACTCTTCATTCTACATGAATGTTGTGGGTATCTGAGAAGGTTTAGAGAAAACACTTGCACGTACAACTTAAAATATAAAGACAGAAAAATGTCATCTTAAAAAATGCACTCTTGATTTTTTTCTTATGGTTTGATTAAGAAGATAAAGCTTGACAGTAAATACATCCCTTCTTCTTTGTTTGTCCTGTTTTTGTTTTTCTTCTAGATCGCTCCTTTGATGTCCTCAAAAAATCCAAGCATCCCCCAGCGTCGCTTGCTGCAGGCCGGCTCTCGGACATGCTGAATGGAGGTGATGAAGTGTATGCTAACTGCATGGTGATTGACCAGGTGAGACATGACTGATACTACCTCTGTCCAAAACCTGAGCTTGCGAGAAATACATTTAGCATTGTTGTGTTCCTTTGAAAACATCAGCCTAAGAGCAACACAGGGGATACTACTGCTGGGGAGTCTCATCACAGGGCACTGAATGGAGGAAATGATTTCAGAGCACAACACACCTTACCCTACCAAGAAGCACCATCAGGGAGAGGCCCTTAAGACATGGGAGAGCTGTTCAGTGGGGCAAAAGTAGAAAATGACACCTGTCTGACCAATACCTTCTCTACAGCTTTTCAGAAAAGTATATATTACGATCTCGATCTGAGTCAGCAGTATTTGCATTTAAATCCAGAAAATGGTAATGATCAAATGCTTGGTCCCAGCTCGATAGGACGCTGTCACATAAATTGCTTGTTTAGTCCTTACAACACATCTATTAACATGTCCTAAGGTGAGAGCTTTAACTTTAAAACAGAATAGTGTCATGTTACGTGGAGGCTGGAGCATTTGAGGATTTCCCACCATGCCCTGGCAGAGACTGGTGACGTGAATCTGATAAAAGCAGAGGGTTTGAATGTATCAACATCTCCTCATCTTTTGTTCTGTCCTCTAGCTCCGTGAACCTCAAATTGGAGTATTTCTAAAAATTAAAATATAGTTATGGCTCTGAAGATTTCTATACACTCTTATTTATGGGAGATTGAAGGGACTTTCAAGAATTACTTTGACCCCAGAAGTGCATTAATGTACATAGTTGCCATTCAATTAAAAAAAAAAAAAAGAATTACTTTGACAATAGACAATTTCTGCCTTACCCGTCTGACTTTAAAACGCAATCATCATGTAAGATGCTCCATATAGTGGCTTGCTCAGCAGTAAGGCATCTTACCTGTGGTTGTTAGTACGCACAAATTTTACCCTGTTACTTATAGATGTTTTTCTGTGGTATATGCTTTTTGTCTGTCTGGTGATTCTCATTTTCAGCCTTTGACTCCGATATCTCTGCTTTTCCCTTTTGTTATAAAGCATTATTACATGGCATGAATTGGGATGGTATTGACAATGACAGAAATCAATAAATCAGAATGGACATGAGCTGTAAATAACTGGTATAGTTGTTTTGGTATAAACCAGTTGAATGTCATTCCTATTTATAGAAATCTAGAATAGGGTGTGGAGTTTAGGACAAAGTGGGAGTTCTAGGAATATTCTTTCAAGATACAGGGTAATAATTGGTGTGCTGTAGCTATGTTGTGATATTTATTTATTGCTTTTCAGCATTATGGACGTATAATTGACATGTTCAATGTGAAGTTTGATGTATGTATGCGTGGTGGAATGATGACCACAGTCAAGGTCATTTAACATGTACGTCACCTCACCTAGTTACCGTTTTTGTGTGTGTGTGTGGTGAGGATACTTATAGTGTCCCTTTACCTCTTAATCTTTCAAGTATTTTCCTAAAAACATGGACATTCTTTTATATAAACACAGTATAGTTACCTAAGTCAGGAAATTAACATTGGTACAATATTGTTAGCTATCTGTAGACCTTATTCAAGTTCAGTCTGTAGTGTCAATAATGTTCTTTGCAATATAAGAACATTCCATCACATGCATTGCTTTTAATTATCTCTTTAGTCTTCTTTAACCTGGAACAGTGTCTCAGTCTTTGTCTTTTTTGGTAATTTTTTATTGTTATATAATGTACATATTATCAGGGTACATGTGATAATTTAATATAGTCATATAATTTGTAAAGATCGAATCTGTGTAATTTGGATATCCATCTCCTTAAATATTTGTCTTAACACTAGAAACATTGGAATTATTCCCCTCCAGTTATTTTGTAAGTGCTAGATTACTGTAAACTATAGTCATCCCGTTGTTTATCAAACAGTAGATCTTTTTTCTTCTATCAGACTATATGTTTGTACCCTTAATCAACCTGTCTTTGTCCCCCCAACATTGATATTTTTGAAGAATACAGACCAGTTTTTTGTTTTTGATTTTGCTAGAGTGTTCTGAAATTTTGGTTTGCCTGATATTTCCTCAGAACTGGATTCGAGCTACGCATTTTTTTTGCAAGAATACTGCAGAAGCGATGATGTGGTCCTCTCAGAGCACTATATCAGAAGGCATATGACATCAGTCTGTCCTCTTATTGGTGATTTTACCTTTGATCTGCCAAGTTTCTCTTTAGTAAATTTAGTGTTGTTTGTTCTTCAATTATTAAGTGTCTTGTTGGGAGATACTTTGAGTCTCTGTAAACATCATTTTAATCTTAGACTTTTACCCATTGTTTTGAGCATTCATTGATGGGTTTTGCCGTAGTCAATTACTGTGATGATGCTTAATGATTTAGAATCCTAAATTTTCCCTTTTTGTGTCTTTCCCCTTCATTACCCCATCTCCAACTGGTCTCACTCTCTTCTTTTCTACCCTCTTTTTCCCTGGAAGCAATGCTTGTAATGACCACTACCTCAAATCACAAGTACTTTCAAACTCCTGTTTTTTGAGCGAGTGCTTTGTTCAACCAGGACTCTTTTTTACAAATATAGGCTGGGTTTTTTCTTTTTGGTGATGATTTTAGATACGTCTTTGGATCTCCACTAGTTCCCTCCTCTATCTGCCACTCATATTTTCCCAGATTGCCCTTTTTCTCTGTAGGGTCTTATGGCAGGAGTGTGAAGGATTTCATAGTCCTTCATCCTGGCTTTGATGTTTATTTTATTATTTACAGGTAATTTGAAGTTTGGAGCATTTTTTGTCTTCTAATTGTGTTATGTAAATGCCTTTATGTAGTTTTATTTGTTTTTGTTTGGTGATGGCTTTTTTGGAGAATCAGATTTATGTGACCACTATTACATTGGTTGCCCAGATAACTATGAGCTACTTACTGAATAATGCTGTATACTTTTTAGCTTTTTTCTCAAAAAAAATATTTCCCCCCCTCATTTTGAGTCAGTGGTTCATAAAATGTTAAAAGCGTTATCCATTTCTGGTTTTGAAATAAAGAGCAATTTTATAAAACACTCACTTGATCTTCCTTTTTGTGAATTATGGGATAGCAGCCATGTGAACAAAAACCACTCATGAAAGAGTTACCTGTTTCCATGAAGCAAAACAAGAACAAGCAAAAGAAGATAAAACAGAAGGCTTTTAAATTGGAAAGATTTTATTCATTCTTAGCTAAGCCAATCTTTCCTGCATTTACTCAGGAAATATTTTTCCTTCCACTTCCAGGTTGGTGATTTGGATATCAACTATATTAACATAGAGGGATTCACCACCAACACCAGCCCTGAATCCATGGGTTCCACTTTGGAGCCTCAGAGCTGTAAGCACATCCTTCCTACTGAAACCAGCCCCGGTGTGTCCCCACTAAGTGAGGACAGCGAAAGGACAGCGACGATTGATGCTCAGCAGTCCTTCGGGTCACCGTCTAGCTCGTGCGCTTCCAATCTGAATCTTTCTTTAGGTCTGCATGGATTTGAAAAAGAACAAAGTCATCTAAAGAAAAGAAGGTAAGGTGCTGTGTTCTAGAGAAAAACTGTAGAAATTCAAGGAACCTCATAGTTAGACTTGGAAAATTCTATTTTTTAACTTTTCATTGCCCCCATCACTCTTATCTCTATATCGAAAAATTGCCCTCCCTTTAGGTTCCTGTATTCATTGATTTGAAAGTAAGACACTTAAAACTATTAAGATACTTAAAACTGACTAAAATGTAATAGAGGAGAACCACACTGAGATACCAGTGTAGACTTGGTGGATTGACAAAAATTATAAAGTCTACCAATACTATGTTTTGGTGAGAATGCATATAATGAAAACTGTTATGTACAGTTGATAGGAGCAAAGTTTGTAGAACAGCTTTGGAAAATAATTTGACATTATCTTGTGAACTTGAATATGCATTTTTCCTCCTGCATAGTAGGAGATGTATGCATGGGTATTTATAGCAGCAGGAAATAACCCAAATGTGGAATAAATAAATTATGTGTAGTTACACCATGGAAGACTATACAGTAATGAAAATGAATTTAACACAAGTACACAACTACATTGACATGCATAATAACATGGGTCTCAGAAGCATAAAGTTGGGGAAAAAAGTAAGCCGCAAAATACTTCAGTTTGATTTTATTGTTTTTAAATGCAAAGTCAAACAATATATTATTATGGGTCACATATATATGTGCATGGGCTATAAAGAAAAAAAGAAAATGAAGAGGAAAAAATCCCTAAATTCAAGATAGTTGTCACATCTAGGGAGGGAAGTAGGGGGCTGGGAATGGAATGAGCCGTAAGAGTTCCCATGGTATGGCCAAGGTTCAGGTTTCAAGTTGGGTGGGCTCCTGGGTGATTGTTTTATTTACATATTTATTTTATATTATAAAATTTATGCCATGTTTATTTTGCTGTTTTACCTTATATATATTTTCTTGTATATATAAAAACATCATTAAGACAATAGTTTAATCATATTTGATATGACTGCATATATTAATATTTGTGGTGTACACAAATGTGTGTGTCCACGTCTGGGTATCTATATTCGTAATTCACTTTGTTGTCTATTTGCTTTGAGGAAGAGTTGATAGGAGTGAAACCTATGCATGGGTGTATGTGCCCCATAATCATAGATTGTTTGATTTTGTATTTAAAAAAAAGAAATAGTACTTTGCACTGACATATGAGCCCAGGTTGTAAAACTTTAAGTAATAGGCATTGGTACCAAGGGTTATGTTGGATACTTAAATAATACAAGACTTTGGTTTATATTTTGTGAATTACAGCTTTGTAGATGCTGGATGGTCATTACTAGAAATTGAATTGATAGGCTGTTTTGAATGGTCCACATGTCTGCTTGTGTCAAGTGGCTGCCAGCCAAGATCTTTAAGATCTGTCAACTGTATGACAATCTCCTCCCCCCCACCCCCAGTCTTGAGAAGTAAATAAGTTTTTTTAGAGGAGGCCCTGCAGGAATCTAGGGCGGAGAAAGCACAAACGTCTCTCTGTTCTACTTACGCAGACGTTTGCCCAGTGTGTGAATTCTACTTCCGGATCGTGGCCTTGCTTTGGGATTTAAACACGTCCTTGCTGGAGACAGAATTTTCTTCTTCAGAATATTAAAAAATCGGCTACTCTGAGTAAAGGTATTTAGGGCTCTGTGACAATATCCCAGCTCAGGCGGAAGAGGGGAAACAAGGAGAGGAAGGGGAGACCTTTGTACAGACAAACTCTCTGGCCGGTCGGTCCCACCAGTTTCATCCCCTGTGCACTGCAGAACGTAGGAGTGCGGACCCCAGAAAGCCCCACTGGCCTCTGCCACGGCAGTGTGTCCTCCCCTCAGTGGATGCCATGGGGGCAGTGTGTAGTACAACTGATAATGAACTCCAGGTGAAGCGTACCTAATTCGTTAATAAGTGAAGGAGGAATTTGGGGGCACACAATAAAAACGGGGCTTACTATAAGCATAAGGCTGACTTGGGCCTAAGTCCTAACTTTTCTAAGGTTTAGAATATTATTTTGGTGAAACTAAAATATGCACAAAACATATTATTTAAACTTAATAACTGTTTAGAGAAGCCACAATAGGAAATAAGCAATAAAACATCTATGTAGAAATGCTATACAACAAAAATGGGGGTGCTAGAAGACAAGTGTTTGTTTTCTTCAAAAACTTGCATTTGTCAACCCTTTGTTTTGCCACCGTCTACAGTAAGAGATGCGTGTTACACTGTGAACCTCTCCCCCCCGGCTCCCACGAAACTTAAGTGAAGTTTTAGGAAATAGCATGTAGGATGTATTCTGATATTTCTATTCTTTAGTATTGTGAAGTCTAATGAATTGATTTCCTATCCCCTAATGGGATTTAGGAAAATACTATGGTAAAATGAGAACCTAGAGAGAATCCTGAAGAATATGGTGTGTGCTGCCAAGATCTTAGGTTACTAGCTTTAACAAAGAAAAGCAGTAGCCCCATTTGAGTTAATAGAAAAAACGTATTTTGTGGTATGCAAAATACAGTGCTAGTATTCCTAGGTTATATTCACGGAGATGGAGAAATGCTGTCTATAGCTGCAAAGGCGTGTGCTAGAATAGGATATTATTGCAGGCCACCAGCATTAAAAGAACTAATTTGTATTAGTGCAGAGATCACTAGTTGGAAGGCGAATGGAGAGGCCCAAGTCATCAGCAAGCTTTGCCTCCCTTAAAGTGTCCTTCTACCGTCGGACTTTTGATGTCTTAGGAAACCAGGTAGCATCTTGAAATGTCTGTAATTATGTTATTGTAATATTTAAAGCACCAACATTTAACAGGAAAGTTTTCTTGACAATAAGCTTCAATTTTTTAATGCAAAATAATCTAGTAAACCCTAAGACATTTGGGTGCTCAATTGAGGTAAAGTGTGAAGCCCACTTCCAATCTGTCCTTTTCTTCTCAAGGCCAAGGGGAAGGCCCTACGTGAGTTCTCTAAGGAGACGACCCCACTTTGGAAATCCTTAGCAGTGCCACCTGAAGTTCTTAGGTACTACAGGGTTTTCTGATGCCCAGTAGTGCTCATGAAACAGTTCATGGATCAGAAACAGATCTAAGTGTTAGCAGTAGGGGCATGTATAGTAAGACCTCTGTTCTAAGAGTCCTGTGACCTATTAAATCAATGACCAGTAGTAAGTCATGACCAGTAAGTAACTTACAACTTTTAAAGAAAAATAACCTAAATGAGTTAATTCAAAATTTCATTTTCTGGTTCTTTGTACTTCAAAACTAAGATAGTTAATTGTGTTGTTCGATTTTAACTCCAGAACTGTTGAGAAGCAACACAAAATACATTTAAAAATGCGTTGTGCAGTAACATGCCTATGAGAGCTGTTGGTTTGAGGGGTTTAAAATGTAATGTTATGAAACGACACTGGAATGAAGAAGGTCAAATTCTTTCCTTTTAATTTTATGGCAATGGAAGTTAAATGAGGAAGGAAAAGTTGTCATCAAACAGAATTACTACCTGGCTTTGAGGTAGGGTTTTCATGGGAATCATTTTTCTTTATATCGAAAAGTGATACTTTAGTGTGACATGTTTGGGACTGTGCATGAGACTCGTTTCTGAACTCTATGTGACACAATGCTGAGGTGAGATCTTCACAGGTCTCGCCATAGTATCCCTCTGTCCTCAGAGCTCCCTAGCTGGGGGACACAGGAGAGAATGTCACAGTGCTTCTCACGTGCAAATCCCCCCGGGGGGTTCCCTCCAGACAACCTCATGGCCGTGTTTGGTCTGCATTTTAAATATTTGAAGGGCTACTATTGAGGACTTTCAATAATTACATTTACACAAAACAGAAATGGTGAGGTTAGTCCTAACTCAAACCAGCTTTTGTTTCTTAAGGTAACTGAAATGGATTTGCTAGGTAAAAATGTTTATTGGGGGAACATACATTTCCTTTAAAAAGCAGTTTGGAGGGAGGAAAACCCCATAATAAAAACTAATGAAACATTATTTGGAAATTGAATAAATACCCTTTGTACCTCACAGCAGTGAGAGGATGTGAATGGAGAGCATCAGGGACCAACGACTGTCGGCTTGCTGGGTTGGCCATTTACTGACGTACTTCCTTGCTTTGCGCTTTAGTTCCAGCCTTGATGCTCTGGATGCTGACAGTGAAGGAGAAGGGCGTTCTGAGCAGTCACACACTTGCTACACTCCAGAGTCTCAGAGTTCTTCCAGAACTGGGATTCCCAGTGGGGATGAATTGGATTCTTTTGAGACCAACATGGAACCGGATTTTAATATCTCCAGGGCTGAATCCCTTTCTCTATCAAGTAGTCTGCAGTCGAAGGTATTCTTACTGGAATTAGTTTAGTTTATTATTCAATGTGGAGAATACGTTGCTTAAATCTATCCTTCTCTATCTGGAAGACAAATTGTGCTTTACTCACATGTGCAAATTACTGTTTTGAGACTCGCATTGGTACCTATTTGAGGCTATTTTTTTTTAATCTCTCCCATAATTTTTATAGTCCTTTCAGTGGCTGATTTATGTCTTTATTAATTCACCTTGGGTACATACCATCTTTTACATGCTGAGAAATTTTACCATTTTCTACAGTGATTTCTACCATTATCGTTCAAGCTACGGGAGGAAAATGGGTAATATTAAATGAATTTTAGTGATCAAAGTTATTTTGCTCACATACATTTTCACTTGGTCCAGGTGATGGGGTAGATGGCAGTAAGGCAGAGGTGATGTTTATCGAACGTTCCTCGCTGCACGAACTAATCTGGAACTTCATAAACTTTGACAACTTTTCCAACAGAGTCAGATTTTCTCCTGTTGGCACTTTCACATTGGAGTTTCACTTTATTCTACTTTTTGTAAAAAATTAAATACATCCTTCAACTCTCCCAAGAAAAGCCCTTTTATGTTTGAATTTACGTTTTCCTTTTATTTCTGTTTTTGTCCACTTGTTTTCTTTTTAAGTTTATTTAATTAAGTTTACGACTGTAAAACAGTCTGTGCCGTGGCAAAACTTCTCTTACTGGGAACACGCAGTTGTTATGATAATGGCCTATTGTTTTGTACCATGCTCTACAATATGCAAAATGTGTTTTATAAATGTGCAAAGTGTTCAATTTGCTCATAACTCACTTGGACGCAAGTGGTGCTTTCATTTTATTTTTTGAGCAAGTGAGGATCTAGAAAGGTTAAGAGTTTTGTTCAGGTTGCCTCGAGTTGGTGATAGAGTTAGAACTCACATTTAGGTCTTTTGACCACAGATTCTGCATCTTTCCCCCCTCAGCCTGTAGAGCTGTCATAGTCTTTCCAATCTAAGGGTCATGTGACATTTCTGGATAATAAGAAATGTGTACTGTTGTTAATGTGGACACGTCATGGTTTTGCATTTTGAATGGAATTGTAAGACACTCATCATTACTTGGAATGAAAAATAATTTAGTTCTTATGAAACAGTTTCATGCTGCTCACTTTTAAGAAGATTCTGTCCTATGAATATATCTTGCCTTGCCTCTGTAATTACCTAGTATAACGTTTTGCCAGAGGGTTTTGGACAATTTTTGATGTTTCATGGTCGTGAAAAAATGATTCCCTTAAATGATTGAAATGGCGAGGATGGCCTTTGGCTAGAGCCCTTTGTGGCCAGCTCACTGTTAGGGTTATAGGACAGCCCAGGCCGGCCCTGTGGGTGCTCCCTCATAAGACAACCACAGACCAAGGCCCCTTGAAGCAAGGTCAAGTTTCTATGTTCTACTTTTATTTAGACTCTTTAACGAAATCAGTGAACTTAGGATACTGTGTGTTTTCATTCAGGGGGAACAGATGAGGACAGTGTTGATGAAGGGCAGTTTCTAGTGGCTTAATTTTAGTAAATAATTTTGCATTATTTTCTTTTAGCCCAAATCTTTTTTTTTTTTTTTTTTTTTTTTGAGACAGAGCCTTATGCTGTCACCCTAGGTAGAGTGCTGTGGCCTCACAGCTCACGGCAACCTCCAACTCCTGGGCTCAAGTGAGTCTCCTGCCTCTGCCTCCCAAGTAGCTGGGACCACAGGCACCCGCCACAATGCCTGGCTATTTTTTGGTTGCAGTCATCATTGTTGTTTGGCAGGCCCAGGCTGGATTCGAACCTGCCACCTTAGGTGTATGTGGCTGGCGCCTTAGCCTCTTGAGCCACAGGCGCCGAGCCTAGCCCAAATCTTAAGTGGCATCTTATAAATGCATGGCCAGGATTAATCCTAAGACCTTTTGGGATAGGAGTTGGGCACCATAATGGTGTTGATGGGTTCTATTGTATATTCATTAAAATTCACTGAAACATATAAGAAAACCATGTTTTAATGACCTTGCCATGTTGCATTGTCACATTTTCTGCCAATATGATAGAAATAATATGTAACTGGAAAACCAGGAACAAAAAATGTCAGGTGATTTAAAAGGAATAATGTTGAAGACTTGTAAATCAGTGATACTCAGTCATCATCCCAGGAAATGCCGTATGGAAGTTTTATCAAAAAATGAGCTGAGTACAGACCAGAAAGATCTGTATAGTGATTGGGGGTATTTTTTCCCGGAGTCTGAAGCTAACAGTATAAGTTTAAGTAGGTAGGTGGAGGTTTAAAAAACTCTATAATTGCAAGGGACTATTTCTCTACCTTTGCATAACCCTTAAATACAGAGATCTCAGTTAATGTAGAATTTGGTTCGAATGCTGCAGTATAAGATAACAGAATACTAACAACTTCGTAAAAATAAGTCAAACTTACTGTTGCATATGCAGAGAAAAAGTCATTTGACATTATTTTTCATTTTTAACCAAGTTGATTAGACTATCATAATTGTATCCTAATGTACTTATGGGAACTAGTCCCCACACTCAAGTTTACTAAAGTCTTAAAAAGACAGTACCATTAAAAAGAGGCAAACAGATACTAATAAGTAATAAAATCATGTCAGAAATGTTCAAGTTGAATCTTCTTTAAAAGATGCCAACTTGATAACGTTCCTGGTGAACACAGACCTTCCAGTCTCATGTGTTTCTTAAACTTTCTTTTGATCTCTCTTAGGAATTGTTGCTTTCTGGAGTCCGCTCACGGTCTTACTCTTGCTCATCGCCCAAAATTTCTTTAGGAAAAACTCAGTTGGTGCGTGATCTTACAGTGTGCAATTCAAGCGAAGGTGAGCATCATTAGCGTTTGCTTTGAAAACACTCTGTTCCAGAGCAGATTTTTGCTTGACCTAAGTACACGAAATATACAAGAACAGGTGGCAAAAAATTTTCAATTCTCTTCTCATAACTGATTTTTTTTAAGCTTAGAAAAATTATTTTCTCCTTGGATGTCAGTCAAGTTCCACATTGGAGTTTGATGAAATATTGGGAATATAGAAATAAAATGTTTTCCTCTAGGATTTCATAAGCTAGAATTGATTTCAGGCCTATTATCGTGAGGGCTTTAGAGGATTTTATGTTAAGAAAATTATAAAAATGACCTTTGCCCTATCAATAAATTGCTGCAATAATTCAGTTCCTCAGAGCCAAAGTATTTGGATTTTCTTCTTTCTTTATTTAGCAAGGGCCTTTGGAGAGTGGAAATAACATATTTGTCAACCTTTTAGTAATATATGTCAACATTTTTTTGTGGCATTGTAAGCAATTAAAAATATAACACTCATACAGTAAAATTTTAATTGAAATATGGTATATATACAAAAGGGTGCGTATCATAAGCATATAGCTTGATGACTTTTCAAGTGAATTCAGGTCTATAAATAGAATAATAATGTGAAACTTAGAGCTCTCTCTATAGCTATTTTCAGCCCTTGCCCTCATTTTCAACTGTATTTTAAAATGTAATTATTTCATCCTTTTTGGAAGTAATATACAATAATTATATATGAGGGCATATTTGAAAGTATTCATGCTGATGTATAATACATAGCATTATAATAAAATTTTTGTCACTGTATTAGATAATGCCTTGTTTATTACCCTTCACAGTCTTAAAAGGTTCAGAAAGAAGTTATTCTCCCTTTCCCAATATGCAGTGTTTAAAACAAGCTGTATTTTGCTCTGTTTTCTTCTCCTTTTTTCTTATTCCTGCTTGATTACATTGTTGTTATTGTTTGATATTTTGTATTTATATGCTGTGTGGAATAATGCTGAAAACATACTTGTCCATCCTAAGATGAAGTCTTAAATATGGTAGATGTTCAATGAGTATTTGTTGCCTGAAGATAATTGAAAAGATATATAAAATACAAAAAAATGTGACTATGTGTTTTTTCCCCTTTTCTGGGATATATTATTAGAGATAATAATATTATCTTTACATATACATATTATCAAGACTGATAATAAGTGTCTTTTTATTTGTGGAGTGAAGAGATGGAGAGCTGTTCTAAGAGAAAGTAAGATAGGTTATAAACACCTTGAGAGGAAAGAATAAAGAAGAGAAATTGAATTTGTTCTAGATCTTTGTTTTTCATTTCACAAGCCTTTCTGGGTTTTCCAGGTCTCCCCAGCCTTAGTTAGGTTGAAATTCATTTTAATAACAGCTTGTCATCTTTCATTGATAGTCCTAGTTGGGGAATTAACTTTTTACTATTTGGAAACCCAGTTTAAGTTTTTTGTGTAGTGTGCAGAATAATGGCCTTGCCTCTATGCCTGTGGTATCCGTGGTTTGTGGAGCCAGTTGGTGGTAAAGTTTGAAATTATTGACCAGATCACTGAGAGGAAATTGATTGTGTATGAGTGAAAAGAGCTCTAATTTGTTTATTCTCTAATGAGCATCCAGGAAGGGTATCTTTGTCTTAATATAAACCTTAAATCTTTGCATTTGAGTTAAAAAGAATAAAAAGCTGACATCAATTCCTTTGGTTTTTCAGTCAATAAAACCTTGCCTTTAGAATATATATGTAAAGACAGAGCTATTTCAATGACGTTTAATACTGTCCAGAAGTTAAGAGTTACAACCAGGCCATTTAGGTTAAGGCTACACACTAAATATACAAAAATTCCAGTGGGTATAAAACTGTGTGGTTGCAGACATTTAAACTGATAACCATGTAGGTCAGTCAAAACCACAGGGCCGGTGAAGAATAAATCTCGATGAAGAAAAAACAATTTAAACTGTGTTTATGTAATCAAAGTACAGGTATGAAAACTTGCCTAGTTCAAAGATATATCCTAATATTACATTGTTTGGTTAGATTAATAAAAAGTAAATTGACAGTGGTGTTGCTGTATATCCTTTCTTGATTAGTTTTCAATAGTCCTAAACATTTTCACTATTTGAACAGAGTTCGTTTCCTTTTGCCTCAGTGGGAAGCTCCCACAGATGAGCTGTAATATAAAAAAGGTGTGCTGGGCGGCGCCTGTGGCTCAAGGGCACCAGCCCCATATACCAGAGGTGGCGGGTTCAAACCCGGCCCTGGCCAAAAACTGCAAAAATAAAAAAGTGTGCTTTTTCAGTCCTTTTTATTTGTGAGTTCTCTTTCCTTTGTCACTTCCAAAAGGTTACTTACTATTATTTCTCATGCCTTTTGGGTTTTTTAGCCAAGAGTACAGTAGTGGCAACTTTATTATTTAATGCTTGCATACGTAAAACAAAATCCAGTTTTATGGTACGTTGTAGACTTAGATAGAAAGGAACATTGACAATATTAAAATGACAATGACAACCTCACTAAGATGCTCAAAAGTGTTCTACAATTAGGATTTGCGGAGTGAAGTCAACGTGCTTTTGAAAGTTACTATGAACTGATGGATAGAATTGGATTGGATCCAATCCAATTTGATTGGATCAGCTGCTTGAGTCTATTCTATTTATAGCTTGATTGTCCTGGTTACATGGCTTATTCTTGGTACCTCAGCCTATTTACAGTAAGAACGATGATTTCTGCCCATGACTTAGTTTGAGGAACATTTAATAATGGCTATACAATAAAGCCTTCAAATTCCTCAAAGTGCATTTTCTATTACATACAAGATAGTTGTAGGCAGATGTATCTGCATTTTTCTTTCTTTTTTTTGCAGTTTTTGGCCTCTCTCATAGGGGGCCAGTGCCCTATTCCTTTGAGTCACAGGCGCCACCCTGCATTTTCTGTTATAATAAGACAGTTGTAGGCAGTTGTAGAGGTGACAGTGACACATTTCAGGGGCTGTCGTCTATTCTCCTCCTTACGTGTCTGGTCCAGTTCCCTTTGCAACCCAGTTTTCCTCCTCACTGTTGTGGATTGTAATGGTAAAGGATTTGTCCCTGCTCTGTAGATGGTGTGCTCCACAGTGGCCGTTCCCTCCTGTCTCTCTCACTGTCTAGATCAGTGTCTCTGCTCCATCCCTGTAGTAAGTACCCAGAAACAAGGTGGCACTAAGCTGCTTGCATGAGCCTGCTCTCCTACCTGCACAAGTCCAACTGGGAAGGGGCTTCTCCCTTTCCCCTGAGCCACAGAGCACATCTCCAGACTGGCTGCCACTAGGATTTTGTAGAAGCATTGCAGCTATATTAAAGTAGACTCTCTTATGCTGGCCTTCAAGACTCTTTCTTTGAGCTTTGCTGAAAGCAAAAGATATTTACTGATTTGCTTTAAGATATTTACTGATTCTATATGTCGGGGGATTAGTCTGCTGTATAAGGGATGAAGCTCTGGTGAAAAATATTCAAAAAAACGGAACTAATTTTCTTCCCTTCTTGAAATTATTTGCTGTCCCTTGCTGATGCTAACTTAGTTCTTAAAGTCATTCGATGTTGCCATGTTTTGGTTTTCTCCTTATCCTTTCCCAAAACTAGGAAAGTGATAAAATACCCAGAGCAATGCCCTACTTAAGTGTTTTCTTATTATTTTCTAACTGGTAGCATGTGTAATGATAAAGGTTGGAGGTGTACATTTCAGACTAACACACAATGTCTAGTTTGTCTGCCTTAATTTTCATTTTGTTGTTCTGTGTCTTGTAGAGCAAAGAGCTTACAGCTTACCAGAGCCACCAAGAGAAAAAAGGTACTTTATTCTAATTTCAGTTTTAAATATGTCTGCACATCATTTTTGATGTCTGTTTAATGGTCTGCGACGGGTTTCTATGGAACAACTTTGCCAAAGACCCTTTGCTCCTCCTGTGATCTGTATCAGCGCAGACCTGGCAGCCCCCTTTTATCAGTCCTCAGGTGTGCAGACCTGGGAACTGAGAACAGGGTGCTCTGTTCTGGGCTATTTGCAAAGCCAAATACCTCCATTGTACAGGATCAGTGGGAGTCCTGAGAGCATCGCATGCTTTAGAAAAGCAACAGGTTTTCTCTAGGTCCCTTCTGCCAAGACAAGAGGGTTTCATCAAGGAACAGGCCCCTGAGCCTCTCTTTATAAATTTTTGCTTAGCAGTGTTCAATTTGAAACAAAGAATAAACAATGCAGAATACTTTTGAGCAAGATCAGTTTCTTGGTTGATACGCAAATTGAAAAGCACCCAAGCTTCTTCC